GGTCCTGTGGGAACAATGCTCCGTCCGCTCGAGGACGCGTGGTCAACGTGTCAAACCGCTAAGGCATGCAAAACATAAGAGTACGCCCCCCCCCCCCCTCTGTCCCATGGTTATCGTTGCCCGTGTCGTCGCGAGCAGCCCAGAGGATGCGGAACTGGTATCGGACAGCCTGAACGACGCCATGCCGACGTATATCCACGCGCTCATGTTCAGGCCAAACGTCGAGGCGCTCTGCACCGAGCAGCAAAGGCAGTTCTGGCTGCCGAGATGCGACAGCATGGAGGTTGGTGGTCCCGATATTCCGCGGTCCCGAGTAGTACGGGTCCCCGTATACCACGGTAAAAATCGCTTGTCACGGGATTTGGCCACAATACTAAACGGTACTACCGTAGGTTGCATAAGATAATCACACCCCTGGACCGATTTTCAAAGCTCAAACACTCCACGACGAAGAGGATGCCGAAATTGAAGGATACGTTTTCTGAAAGCTCTCCACGAGACGGTTCCAACGCCTCCCGCCATTTTTCGACACCGTCAATGCTGTTCCTGCCGATATATCGAGCTTCGAAAATCGGTCCAGGGGGTGTGATATCTTGTGCAACCTACGGCATATGTTCCTCAACGCTCAATAGTGCGATGTCCCGATATATCGCGGTGATTTTTTGCCTGTCACTACACACCGCGGTACGGTACGACACGGTATATTGGGACCACCACCACTGCTGTACGGCGGGACTGTACTGCTGTAGCGAGAGACCGACCACCGGTCGTGGCCTGCCGGTTTTTGCTGCGTGCCGTTGGTTTAGATACCACCCCCCCCCCTTCCCGCTCTCGCCCGACCGACCTTCTCAGAGCTCGATTGCTCTTGAAGCACCCAGCAGCCTTTTTTTCGCCCACTCGCTGCAAATACTTCGTTCAACACATCCCCTGCATCTACTGTGGTGTTAGCTCGAACGGGCTGTCTCATCTTGGTTGTATGTGTATCTTCTAAGAATCAGTGACGGCGCCGACAATGGCGGGGGTGGCGTCAGAACATTCTCGTCGAGAGCTTGCCGAAAACTCATCATGTTTTCTGTTTTCTGCCGTCTTCATCGCGGGGTTGTTGTTCGAACTTTCGAAAATCGGTGCAGA